TTCTTTTTTTTGAGACAGGGTCTCCCAGTAGCCCCAGCTGGCCTGGAACCCACTATGTTGACCAGGCTGGCCTTGAACTCATAGAGATCAGCCTGCCTCTACCTCCAGAGTGCTAGGATTAAAGGTATGGACTACCACACCCGGTCTCACACCCAAGATTTATTCTTTAGCAGTACTTAGAAAAGAAGGCTAGGAATGTAGCTCAGTGGCAGAGCACTTGTCTAGCATATGAGAGGGCCTAAGTTCCACCTTTAGCACTAAAGAACAAGATTTAAAAGGCATATTATACTGGAGAGATGAATCAGGCACTGAAGAGGGACGCATCATAAAAATGATCTTACTCTGACTCTCCTCTCAGTTGCTCAGGGTAGTTTGTTTCAAGCAAGTAACTGGAGGGAAATGTTGACTTCACTACTGAGGGTTTCTAAAAATAAAGTTTAGGGGCTGGAGAGATGGCTCAGCGGTTAAGAGCACTGATTGCTCTTACAGAGGACACAGGTTCAATTCCAAATAGGGATGGAGAGATGGCTCAGCGGTTAACAGCACTGACTGCTCTTGCAGAGGACCCAGGTTCGATTCGCAGCACCCACATGGCGGCTATGAACCATCTTTAACTACAGTTTCAGGGGAATCCAAAGCCCTCTTCTGACCTCTGCAGCATTGCATGACACGGGTGCACTCACATACATGCAGGCAATACACTCATACACATAAAATAATAAATAAAATATTTTAAAAATAAATAAGTAGATAAAATATATTTTTTAAAAAATAGTTTTTAAAAAAACTGTAGGCAGATACATATACATGTATATACATACACACATACACACACATGCATGCAGAGATAAATGAAGTTTTGGGTTTTTTTTTTTTTTTGTGAGACAGGGTCTCCCCGTAGCCCCAAATGGCCTGGAACTTCACATGTAAAAATCTTTTTAAAAACTTCGGGGCTGGAGAGACGGCCCAGCGGTTAAGAACACTGGTTGTTCTTGCAGAAGACCAGGATTCAAATCCCAGCACCCACATGGCAGCTAACAACTCCAGTTCCAGGGGATCCGACAGCTCTTCTGTCCTCCGAGGGCATTGCACTTACCTACATGCAGGCAATACACACATACACATAAAATAAAAATAATAGGGCTGGGTGTGGTGGTGCACACCTTTAATCTGAGCACTAGGGAAGCAGAGGCAGGCGAATCTCTGTGAGTTCGAGGCCAGCCTGGTCTACATAGTGAGTTCCAGGCCAGCTGGGGCTACAGGGAGACTCTGTTTCAAAAAAACAAAAAAAAAAACTTCATCTGCCAGGCATGGTGGCGGACACCTTTGATCCCAGCACTCGGGAAGCAGAGGCAGACAGATCTCTGTGAGTTCAAGGCCAGCCTGGTCTACATAGCAAGTTCTAGGCCAGCCAGAGCTACAGGGAGACCCTGCCCCCAAAAGACCGAAAAACAAAAAACAAACAAACAAGACTTATTTATTTTAAGCTGAGTATGGTGGTACATGTCTTTAATCCCAGCACTGGGGAGACAGAGGTAGCCTCAGAGTTTGAGGCTAGCTTTGTCTATACAGAGAGTTCCAGACCAGACAGTGGTACATAATGAAACCCTGTCTCAAAAAAGCAAAAACAAACAAACCAAAGATCTATTTATTTTACTTTTTATTTATGCATCTGTATGTGTGCCTGTGTGAATTTATATGCACTACATGCACACAGGTGCCCATAGAAGCCAGAGGGCTTTGAAACCCCTGGAACTGGAGCTGGAGGTGGTTGTGAGCCATCCAATATGGGTGCTGAGAACTGAACCTGGGTCCTCTACAAGAGCAGTAACTATCTGACCTTTCCAGTCCTATATATAAGTTTTTGCTGTTTTAAGACAGGATCTTACTGTGTAGCCCTGGCTGAACTGGAACTCATTATGTACACTAGGCTGGCCTCAAACTCAGAGATCTACCTGCCTCTACCTAGAAGTACTATGATTAAAGGCTTGTGCCACAAAGCCCAGCTGAAAGTTTTATACAAAACTAAATTTGTACTTAATTATGAAGGAAACATACTTACTGCCAAGAACTAAACTTATAAAGTAACAACAAACCAACACAGTTGCATTCCTTATTAATCCAGTGTATTATCTAATTAATTTAAAGCAGTAGGAACACATTTTGAAAGAGAAGTGAGTGGCTCAATGGGTAAAGTGCCTGCTGGGCAAGCATGAGGGTCCCCAGCACCCTGGTAAAATGCTGGATTTAGCCAGGAGTCAGAAAAAGGTAGATCGCCAGGACTATGGACTCACTAGCCAGCCAGTCAAGTTGAATCATATGAGCTGCTGGTTCAGTGAGGCACCCTGTCTCAAAAAATAAATTAGGCTGAACATAGTGGCACATGTCTTTAACCCTAGCACTCAGGAGGCAGAGAAAGCGGATCTCCGTGCAATCAAGGCCAGCCTGGTCTACATAGTCCAGCTGGAGCTACAGGGAGACCGTGTCTCAAAACAAAAACAAAACAAGCAATTATAGGTAAAGTAACTTTCCCAAATTCACAGAATTATTTAAGAATCAGAACCAGGCTTTCAAAATAGATTTGGATGACTTCAAGTCCATACTTTTCCTGGGGTGATACAGTCTCTTCCCAAAACACTTTCCTTTGAAAGTTAATGGAAAATGTTGATTCTAAATGTCAGAGCTAGACTTTCCTGACTAGGACCTTTGTTTTTTACCTATCATCTCCAAACTCATTTTCACAGACCTCTATATTTGGTATACTAAATAAATACAATGTGTTCATTCAAACCATACCATGTTCTATAACACACACCTGATCCCTGATCACCACCCCCCAAAAAAACCTACTTTCTGGCTATTACTCTATGGTAACACAAATAAAACAACTTCCTGGAAAACAGGATTTTCTTGGTTTTTGTGGTGGTGATTTAGCACCAGGGCCTGAAGCATGGTGAACATGTGCTCTATCGCTGAGCTACACCCCAAGTCATGGCAAAATGATTCACAGTTTATGGAGAACAAAACCTTTAAAGAAGTACAGGCAATGATTAGGGCAATAGTTCCACTGAGAAAAATAAAAGTAACTACAGAAAGAACAAAGAAAAAGCCATACTTTCACTTCTGAAGAGACTTTCAACTCTCATGGTTCGGATTTCTACTCAATAGGCGTATCCTTTCCCTTCTTCCGGCTCCTACTTCCTCTCTCAGCTTAGGAACAGCTGACTTAAACAAGGCTGCTACATTAGATCTGCCGTGAGTTACAGCAACAGAATACAGTCATAAAAACCACATTTGGCAAGCTTCCTTTTCTTCCACATTCTTGTGATTTTTCATTCCAGTTAAAGAACAGGAAGCTAGATGTTTGGTTTTTGTTTGTTTGTTTGTTTTGTTTTGTTTTTGGTCTTTTTGAGACAGGGTCTCCCTGTAGCCCCAGCTGTCCTGGAACTCACTATGTAGACCAGGCTGGCCTTGAACTCACAGAAATCCGCCTGTCTCCGCCTCCCAAGTGCTGGGATTAAAGGCGTGCGCCACCACGCCCGGCAGCTAGATCTGTTTTCAAACTAAGATTCATCAGAGTCAGATTATTAATCATTTAAATAATCTTTTGCTCTCCCAACTCTAATATAGCTGAATAAATAAGAGTTTATCCAAAGGCTACAAACCTACCTTTACCTCAGCTGTAACTGGGGGAGGTGAGAAGAGTTGCCAGTTACTGCAAATGACAAGCTGCCTATAAAAAAAATCAGACCATGCCAGGCTTGGTGGCATACTTCTTTGATCCTAGCACTCGAATCTCTGTGAGATCAGTGAGACCAGCCCGGTCCACATAGTGCCAGGCCAGTTGGGGCTACAGGGAAACCCTGTCTCAAACAGACCAAAAGAGAAAAAAGAAAAGAAAAAAAACCGGCCACCACAAACTCAGCCAGAGTTACAAACCCAAAACAGTCTCTCACACACTAAGTATATATACACATACACAGACAAGGAGAGTTAGTACCAGATAAATGATGTGAACTATACACTGTGACTTACATATTGACTGATTTGGAAAAAAGAACTCAAGACTCAAATGCCAAGCACATTTCTTCTCCAATAACAAATAACAAATAACAGAGGGTCCAGTAAGACCCTCCCCTGCATGGTGGCCAACAGTAATCCCTATACCTGGGAGGCAGAGGCAAGAAACAGCCTAAATTTGAGGGCATACATAGCAAGTCCCAGGTCAGCCAGGTCTACACAGTGAGACCCTCTCTCAAGAAACAAAAGGGACAAAAAAATCCTGGGAAGACCCTAAGGTACAGGATATATAGTACTAATCCCACTAATAGCACCTACTGTCCAAGAAACATCAATTTGCTGAACCATTGTGTTACTTCACTAAGTTAACAAAAGAAAAGTGCCAGAAAACCTAACAATATACCGTTCAGAAAACTTACAGATTATTGGCCCAATAGGCACTGAATAAACCAAAAGATGATACAGCTATTTACACAGGGTTTATAAGGTGAATTTATATTTTGGAATTCTCTCGCAATGATATTTTACAACATAATTATATATATGGTTTGTTTAGTACATTTTCTTATTGAGAGTGAACTGTAGCGAAAAGCCTTATTATTTATTGCTAGTCACGTTGTTCATAAACCTTTAGAAGTAACGTTCCTACGGAATCTCAGTCATTAGATTGCCTGTGATATACTACTGAAAACCCACCGTTCAATATGCTCTTTTTCCTGGTCGTGCCAGAAGCACACGAGTGGAACACTACACAGAACTTTTATATAATGAAAGTACTGCATGTCTCCGACCCTTAAAATCTGAGCACCCACCCCCTGATAAATGACAAAGGCAAAAACCAATCCATATACAGGATCTCAATGGCTTAGCCAATGAGAACATGGGGGTGGGGTTGGACTAAGCTCCCGGTGACTTCCCCGCACCCCAGAGACCCAGGTTGTGGGAGACTGGACAGGAATTGGCTCCGAGGATCTCGTTACCCTCTGTTGTAGCTGTTGTCCTCCTCGTTCTCGCAATCGCTGCAATGCTCATGGCCGTTTCCGTTCCCTTCCATCACCTGCGGCAGCGGAGGTGCCGGCAGCTTCACTGCTGTCTCACTCTCATCCGCCATCTTGATTAGCGAGAGCCAGACTCCGCGCTCCGCTACATGGAGAGCTCCTATTGAACGAGGGGAATCTGCACTGCATTCTGGGTCTTGTAGTTTTTATAACGCGCTCTGCAACTAAGCGCGGCTTGTTCCCTAGAAACCGGAACACGGTGGACTACAATATCCAGAAATGATGAAGGTACACTACTTTGGGAGGAGGAGGGCAGCAATCCCGGAAGCCCCTCCGTTCGGCCGCGCGCTAAGGCTTTGAGGCCCACGCATGACCGGGTGGTCGCGGGGCATGCTGGGAGTTGTAGTTCCACGCTGAATTTGGGTTTCGGGAGTAAAGAGCTCCAAAGTCCAAGGTTTCATTTCAGTCTACCTTTGGTAGTCACCAGGTCACAGGTTAGCCGTTATTGGCTGCCATTAAGGACCGTTGCTTATCCTGGGTAAGTGAAAGACCCTGAGATTCGTGGGTGCGACTCGCTGGGAGCCCAAATGCCCAGGGCCTTTTTAAAGGGGACTTAACTACCAGAAGCCAGGTGGTTTGCCCTGGACTGCCTTGCCCACGCGGGCCTTTGGGCAGACCTGGATCATTGGCAGTCTAAAACCCGGGAGGCAGGGGATCGTGTGTGGAACACCTGACAACCGTGAGCCAGAACATTTGACTCCTTGGAGGCAACGCTTGCTTCTTCTTGGCCACCACGTTTGCCCTGAGCTCTTCCTCTCTGCTCTTTTTATTCCCCACTGAAAACCTTCCATCACAAGTCTTTAACGATCATTTATACTCACGAGGCTCTGGGGTCAGGCTTTTCGTTCATAATTTCATTTAATCTTTAACAACAAGCTAGAATATGTGTGCCGTTATTATGGCCCCTTTTCACAAATGAAATAATGTATCTAGGAAAAGTTGGTAAATTGCAGCCACATTGGTAGTAAGTGGCAAATCTGGATACAAAACCGGATCTATCTACTCAGATCCTCTTCATTGTTTACTGTCACAACAGTCCAGTTGTCTGATAGAGTCATCCACCTCAGATCAGTAACTGCAACATTTTATCTACTTTAGCTGTATCTAAAAGTTTCAGTCTCTTTGGTCTCCCACCCATGACTAAATAATCTCTTCATAGTCCAGAGAAGACCCAAAGATATGACTCCCATTCTTAGCGATTTCCTATTTAGGTTGGATGTGGTGGGCAGTGAGAGATGGACTAGTTCTTACCACCTGAGAACTGCATGGCCAAAAAGAGCAATGGTCTTTGCCTTTGGGAAACTGAACAAGGGGAGAAAGGTTCCCCTCTGACACAGGGACAGAGAACCAAATACCATGAAGAGCTAAATATAGTCAACTATTTATATTAGTGGCAGGAGCAGAAAAGTAAATAGAATCCAAATCTGCAGATAACCCCCAATCATTTCTCTTTGACTTTAGAAAACAGTCAAAGCTACCCCCTTGCACTAAGAGCTGTCACTTACACTCAGCTCCCCAGGACCAAAACTGCTATTTAGCATGATGTCATATTGGGGTTAGGGCTCAGTGGTAAAGGGCTTGCCTAGCAAGTAAGGTCTTGGGTTCAGAAGGAACTACAAAAAAAGCAGCAAAAAGGATAGAATGCTGTATATTACTGCTAGAAAGGGCAATCGGGGATGGTAATAAAGCCTTATGTGTGCTACATTTGTTTAACTTTTTTAAAAATATTACATTTTAATGGGGTGTGATGGTGCACACCTTTGGTCCCAGCACTTAGGAGGCAGAGGCAGGTGACTCTCTCTGAGATGGAGGACAGCCTAGTCTACATAGAAAGTTCCAGGCCAGCCGAGGCTACAGGGAGACCTTATCTCAAAAAACAAACTACATTTTTTTATTTGTGTGTGTGTCTGTGTGTGCACCTATGTACCATGGCACATGTGGAGATCAGAGGACAAGCTTCAGGAATGGACTCCGTTTTTACCATAGGGACCTCAGGCAAGTGCCTTAACTCATTGATCCATCTCACCAGTCAGAGATAAACTTTTCTTAATGTTTTGTCTCCTTTAATTTATAAAGTGCTTGTAAAATAGAAAGGGAAGGAGATTGAAGAAAATTGTACTTTCCCCAAGACTCAGTGATACTCACTTGCAGAGCTTGGGTAGGAACTTACATTTGGTATTCTAATTCTTAGCCCTGTGTTTGTTCTGCACAGATGTACAACATGGCCAAAGAAGAATGATTATAGGAAATGAAGGTGCAGGTTTCTGTAGACCCTGCCATTCTTGTAGTTCACAGCTTAAGTATAACACTTTGTGCCAAATGTGATTGTACAAGCAGGAGGAATATACTGAATTTGAGACTACTCCGAGTGTGGGAGGTAGGCTTGAGCCTAGAGTGGAAGTCTTAATGACAACCATACAGCAGGCCTGAGGCAACAGCCTGACCGCTGGAGCCACAGGGAACGCCCTGTGACAGTTGCTCCAACTGGCAGATCATGAGGCTGATGCTCAGGGCTTGCCACTCCCTAATCACCACCCTTGAGATTCCTGCAATTTCCCTATGACTTGTGGCACTTGGATGGATATCACAACAACCTGGGTTCCAATAAATCATGTGACCGTGGCTGTTGTGACATGGTTTGTAGGGATGGTCGCATGGTTCTTGGATGTCACAACGACCTGGGTTCCTGTAAATCATGTGACCATGGCTGTTGTGATGTGCTTTGCAGGGATGGTTGCGTGGTTTACAGGAATCTGGGCCCTGTACTGTAAATCAAAACCTAAGCAAACTGAAACCTAAGCTGAGATGCTTTAACTGCCCATTTATGGTATGATCACTGTGTCTTTATCTGATTGGCCCTGGAACCCTATCTAAGCTTGTTGCTTCCCCAATAAAGTAGATCTGCAGCACTGAACCTGGTCTCCTGTGTCTGAATGCAGCTCCGCTGACACAGTCTCCTCACCAGCCCTAGGGTCTGGGATCAGTGGTGATCAGTGGTGGCAGTGATGACTGTGAAGGTGGACCGGACGGACGGCTGCAGCTGGCGCCCAATGTGGGGCATTCTTAGGCTCAGGTTCAACCATGGAATGCCCTCTTTCCCACCCTTTTGCTCTTTTGGCTCACAGTTTTTGGTTTGGCATGTCACTCCTGTCTCTGCTGATCGTCTCCATAAACAGCTCTTGAGTCCCTCTGGGTATGTCTTGCAGGGTGAGCGACCTCCAGAATGGGGAATAGTTATCCAGCTGCCGCCAGCCCCCCGTGCTGCAGCATTGGTTTCTCTCCTCAGGAGCAGGTGACTTAAGGTAACAGAAAAGGATGTAGCTAAAGTGCTAGATGAAGTTTTAGCTCTTGCCCCTTGGTTTGCGGAGTCCTGTTGCTGGGATCCTGAACAATGGGCCTATGTGTTATTCCGGGCCAGAAAGAAAGAGGTCAGGGAGGGGTGCCCACAATCTGGGCCGTTCTACCCCATTGTAACTGCCATTCTGGCCTCTCATCGGGGAGTTCCCCCCGCCATGCCCCTGAACAAGATGATCTTATATTACAGTAGATAAGCAAATTCAACAACAAGATGCTGAGAACGGCTTGCCTCAAGTGTTCCTGGTCAAAGTGAAACTGACAAGAAAGCGATGACTAGTGCTGAGGATTTGGAAAGCGAGGGACTAGGGTCTGAGGGCTCCCTTAGTAAAAAACAGGAAGTCATACCATCCTCTGCTCTGCCATTACAGGGCATTAACCATCCCCTGCCATCTTATGCTGGCTGCAGGGGAGCCCCTCCCCTCTGCCTCCACTTAGGGGAGGAAGACGGAAGCCTTTTCCACTGACCGCCTTCTTGCCTGGTGGGGGGATGGAAACACCCCACAGTTTTTTCCTGTTACTATTGTTCAGAGCCAACAAAATCCCAATGTTTGTAATCCTTATTCTCATGATACCGTAAAAAAATTGGGCAAAGCGGCACTTGAGGATGGTATCCATTCCCCCTGGTTCAGCCAACTTCTGGATACAATCAGTCATGCAGCCAATACCCCCTACGATTGGCAGCATATTGCCTGTGCATGTTTGCAGGGGGGTGACTTCCTCTTATGGAAGACTGCTTATCAGGATGAATGTGAGCAGCAGGCAGAGCACAACAGGCCGCCAATGTTCAGATTATAGGGTTCGATGCACTGGCAGGGCGAGGCTATGTTTGTGTTTTTCCAGACAATGTTCCAGCCCCCATTTAGATCCCAGCACAGAACATTAGAATTGCCTGTGATGAAAAACAAACTCCTCTCCACAGCCACCGACTCCAGAGATGGCAGCCCTGACCCTGGAGGAAACAACACCAAGAACAAAGCTTCAAACCACCTGAGAGACCAGTCCAGCGCCACAGACCTCAGAAGCGACCGCCATGCACATCCAATAACCTAGGGAGACCTTAAACATCTCACTTCACAAGCAGAGACTATCACTAATCAAAACCCTCAAACTAGAGGGAACCCTCTTGTCAATGTTCCTCATAATGTGCGCCATTATTACAGCAAACTCACAAGCCCTCTCCTTGCCACACAACCCCCATGTGCCTCAAAATTTGACCTGGGTAATTACAAACTCTGCCACTGGTACAGTGCTTAACTCCACCTCTGAGGTCATACCCTCGAACAGCTAGCACCCTGACCTTTGAGTGGTTCTTTGCACCATATTTGAGGGAGAATGGGAGCCCAGTGACCAGACCCCCTTTCCATCCTTTGGCTGCCTGCACCCTGGCCCCCCATCACGTACCCACAATCCAACCATCTATATCTGTCTGGTCATCGTCGTGATTCATGACAAAAAACAACTGCAGAGGGCCAGGAGATTACTATTGCACCAGCTGGGGATGTGAAACTACTGGCACATTTTGGTGGACTGGGTCTATGATCCAGGATCTTATAACTGTAGAACGGGCCCCAGGATCTACCTCCCTGGGATGGGGCAGAACCAGCGCAAGCCCACACTGTAACCCACTTATCATTAAGTTTACAGAAAAAGGAAAAACGGCTTCAGGTTGGGACACTGGAAAAACTTAGGATCTGAGACTCTACGTGTCGGAAAGAGACCCTGGGGCACTGTTTACCATCCAGCTTCTTACTCGGACACCCTCTGACCTTCCCTCTGGCCCGATTGGGCCAAATCATGTGCACAGTAGGACCCCCTCTTTTCCTCCCAGCTTCCCCATCCCTCCTCCTCAATTACCCTAGCTCACACTAGCCCACCCTCCACACCTACCTTCATGAGCGTACCCCCCCATTGCTAGGTCTGAAGCTCTCTTGGGACTGCTCTCTGCCACCTATTCTGTCCTCAATATCTCTAAACCCGGGTACACTCAAAATCCAAGTTACATAGAACCAGGCAAGCCAGGGCCACAGTGAAACCTTGTCTCAAAAAACAAAATAAAACTACCATCACAAAAAAATAACACTTTGCCATCTTGGTGACAGACTCTTATAATCCCTATACTTGGTAGGCAGAAACAGAAGGATCAGAAATTCAAGGTCATCTTTGGTTACATAGTTAGTTCAAGGCCAACCTGGGCTACAGGTCAAACAGAAACACTGCCTTAATCTTAAATGAAAATTTAGTAGTTTTTGCTCAGTGGAGAACATTTCTGGCAGTGAGCAAGGAATGTGGCTCAGTACGCAAGTGTCAGAAGTTCTGGAATCAGATCTTCAGAGTTAAAAGGGCACTTTTACTCTCCTGAAACTCTTTAGATGTTGAAGGATCCATGATTTCTTTATAATGAAATTGAATTTGAAGATATTGAGGATAAGGGGCTGGAGAGATGGCTCACAGTCTAAGAGGTCATACAGCTTTGAAGAATACTGGACTCCCCACATGGGGATGAGTTACAGCTGCCTTTAACTCCAGTTGCAGGAGATCTGATGCCCTTTTCTGGCCTCTGTAGGCAAAACACTCATACACCCAAAATAAATGAATAAGGAACTGGAGAGATAGCTCAGCAGTTAAGAACCCTGGCTGTTCTTATGAGGCCCTGGGTTAAGTTCAACTCCCAGCACCGACATGGAGGCTAACAACCATCCATGGCTACAGTTCCAAGAGATCCAATGTCCTCTTCTGGCCTCTGCTGGCCAGACATGGGTGCACTTACACACATGCAGACAAAAGCACTCACACAGAAAATAAAACTAAATATATAAATCTTTTTTTTTTTTTTTTTTTTGGTCTTTTTGAGACAGGGTCTCCCTGTAGCCCCAGCTGTCCTGGAGCTCATTATGTAGACCAGGCTGGCCTCGAACTCACAGAGATCCCGCCTGCCTCTGCCTCCCAAGCGCTGGGACTACAGGTGTGTACCACCACACCCAGCTGAGACAGGATCTTTTAAAAACATCTTTTTAAATTTAAATTTTTTTTAAATATTTTATTTTTGTGTATAAGTATATTGTCTGCGTTCATGTCATGCAATACCCACAGAGGTCAGAAGAGGGCATTGAATCCCCTGGAACTGGAGTTACAGCCAGTTAGCCACCATGTGGGTGCTGCGAATCAAACCCCAGTCCTCTTCAAGAACAGTCAGTGCTCTTAACTTCTGCACTATCTCCCCAGCCTTTATTTTTTGTGTGTGAGTATTTTGCCTGTGTGTAAGTACACCATGTATGTGCAGTGCCTGTGGAGGCCAGAAGGCATCTGACCCTCTTTAACTGGAGTTAAGGATGGTTGTGAGCCACTTTATGGGTGTTGGCAACTGTAAGAACAGCCAGTGTTCTTAACTATTGAGCCATCTCACCAGTCCCAGGATCATATTTTTGTTGACAAAAGGTCATGCTCAAGGGCCTTGGGATATTGCTCAGTTGGTAGAGTGCTTTCCTAGCATGCCTAAAGCCCTGCCTGAGTTCCCATCCCCAGGCCCACATAAACCAGGTGTGGTGGCACGATACCTGTAATCATAGCACCTAAGGAGGCAGAAGTGGGAAGATCAGAAGTTCAAGGTCATCCTTGGCTATATAGCAAGTTCCAGGCCCAGCCTGGACTACATTAAACTCTTATCTTACACACACACAAAGTTCATATTGGACAACTTAGTTTTCTTAGGTAATAGGGTTTCTTCCCTCTGAAGAGCAAGGCTAGTGGACTTAGTATGAAATAAGGGGTGAACATGGTCCTTGGTAGCTTCTTATCTCCCTGTACTTCACCTTCTGGAAGGGACCCCTGCTTCCTCCTGAGACACACTCCAGACACTTGATTCCAAAACAGTGGGCCTGCCCTCTTGCTTGGTGCTGTGGGTTTAAGATTGTTCCAGGCATTCCTTACACTTTCAAGCAAGTTAGGGACCAGAAAATGGCTCAGGGTTAAAGTGCTTGCTATACAAGCACAATCCTGACAACTTGAGTTCTACCCAAAACCCACAGTGGAAGGAGAGAACTTATTCCTGAAAATTGTCCTCTAACTTCCACATGTGCACCATAGCATACACTGGCACACATAACACACACACACACACACACACACACACACACATAAATAAATAAATAAACAGCAGGCATTGCATGACAGACACCTGTGCACACATGCAGGCAATACATGCATACACATAAAATAAAAATAATAATTAAAAAATTTTTGTCAGGCATGGTGGTGCACACCTTTAATCCTAGCACTCGGGAGGCAGAGGCAGGCAGATTTCTGTGAGTTCAAGGCCAGCCCCTTGAACTCATAGTGAGTTCCAGGACAGCTAGGGCTACAGGGAGACCCTGTCTCAAAAAGACCAAAAAAAATTTTTTTTAAATAAAACGGCCTGATCGTGCTTTTTTTTTTTTCTTTCTTTCTTTTTGTTGTTTTTTTGTTTTGTTTTGTTTTTGAGACAAGGTTTTACTATGTAGCCCTGGCTGGTCTGGAATGTACTATGTAAACCAGGCTGGGCTTGAACTCACAGAGATCTTCATGAGAGTGCTGGGATTAAAGGCATGCACCACCACACCTGGCAAAGATCATGTTTATTTAAGTAATGGATGAGCTCTTAGACTGATAGATGAAGTTGGGGAAGGGGGTACATATCTATCTCTGGGGTGATGCTGAAAAAAAGTTTTCATGAAAAAGCACACCTTTAGGCCTAGCCCTTGGGAGGCAGAGGCAGACAGATCTCTGTGAATTCGAGGTCAGCCTGGTCTACAAAGCAATTTCCAGGCCAGCTAGGGCTACAGGGAGACCCTGTCTCAATAAGACAAAAAGAAAAAAAGCAGGGGTTTGTATGTGTTTAGATAGAGGCTCATGTATCCCTGGCTGGCCTTGAACTTGCTATATATCTGAGGATGATCTTGAACTTCTTATCCTCCTACCCCCACCTCCCTAATCCTGAGGTTACAGGTATGCACCAACCATGCCTGGTTTTTGTGGTGTTGGGGATCTATTCCAGAGCATTGTACTTGCTAGGCAGGCATGCTTCTGACAACGGAGCCACATCCCTATGCCCCAGACTTTAAAGCCTGGGGTCTCCATTGACTCCTGGAGCTCTTTGGACTCCCTCCTGAGCTGAAGTCGTAAGTGTGCATTTACTTTAATTTGTGTGATTATTCAGTTTATGATTATTTTCCCTACAAAACCTAACTTTCTATGAGGTGGGAGAACAGGTTGTATTTTTCTCACCTCTCTTGTTACCCTCAGGCCAGCATACATTGGATCTCACATTTGTTGGGTAGAATGGGACATATAGCTAGAACCTTTGTCTAACATGCATGAGACCCTGGTTTTGTTCTCTAGCACTGGAAATAAACAAAACAACAAAATTATGAGAGTAATCTATGTATGAGCAAGTGATAATATAAAAGGGAATAGGTGAGCCAAGCGTGGTGGAGCATGACTTTAATTCTAGCACCCAGGAGAGGCAGGCAGATTTCTAAGAGTTCCAGGCCAACCTTGTCTATATAGCAACTTCCAGGTCAGCCAGAGCTATTCAGTAAGAACCCGTCTCAAAAAAAAAACAACAACAAAAAAAAACAAATAAAAACAGGTGGGGTGGCACATGCCTTTAATCCCAGTACTTGGGAGGCAGAGGCAGGTGGATCTCTGTGAGTTCAAGGCCAGCCTGGTCTACACAGTGAGTTCCAGGCCAGCTGGGGATACCTGGAGACCCTGTCTCAAAACAAAACAAAAAAGACAAAAAAGAAAGAAAGAAAAGAAAGTCTGCAGGGTGGGTAAATATGGGAACACATTTATGACCATTTATGTTTGTTTGTACTGAGCTTTTCACTGCTCACAAAATAAGCTACAATACCATCTTGTTTGAGCTCTGTCATCACCTCTCTTGTTTGGGCCTGTACAAAGAGAAGGTCAAGTTTTATTCCTGTTTCACAATGAGAAAACAAGTTTAGTGATTTGCCTAAAGTTTTGCTGCAAACTTTGGAGCTCAGACTTTACATGGAAATTTTTTTTTTTTTTTTTTTTTTTTTTTTGAGATAGGGTCTCCCTGTAACCCCAGCTATCCTGGAACCTCCCAGAGACCCACCTGCCTCTGCCTCCCAAGTGCTGGGATTAAAGGCATGTGCCACTACACCCAGCTATATGGAATGTTTTAATACAAAGCTGGGTGGAAGAATTAGACTGCCTCTTTCTTCCCTCTGTCACAGGGGACCATTTGGTGAGACGTGTCTGCATGGTGAACTGGCTGGGTTGCAAAGACTGTGCTTCTGACTAGAGAGTTTGAACTTTGTGAGGACCTAGAAGAGAGGTGTTTTTTTTTTTTTTTTAGGAAAAGCATTTCATTACAGTTTTAACATACTCAATAACAGTTTCTAGAGCAAAGATACATCTCTTTCAAAAGTGGCTATAAAATTTTTAGGTTCACTGTTGAATTAATACAGTTATACAATATTGAACTCAGTATAAGCCCTGTAAGACAAAAAAATTGAATGAGTTTTTAACCTTTAAAAAAGATCTCCATTTCATTTTTTATTTTTTTAAATATTTTATTTATTATTTTAAGTTTATGTGTATGAGTGTATTGCCTGCATGTATGTGAGTGCACCCGTGTCATGCAATGCCGCGGAGGTCAGAAGAGGGCTTCGGATTCCCCTGGAACTGGAGTTAAGGACGGTTCATATCTGCCATGTGGGTGCTGGGAATCAAACCTGGGGCCTCTGCAAGAGCAGTCAGTGCTCTTAACTGCTGAGCCATCTCTCCAGCCCCTCCATTTCATTTTTAAAAAATGAGTCTTTCTGTAAGAAGAGAGTTTTTGATCTTGTTTATTGGCAGCTTTTTTTGAGATGAGTCTGACTGGCCTGGAACTCACTGGATAGCCCAGGTTGGCCTTGAACTCATGATCCTCCTGCTTTGGCCCTCCTGAGTGCTGGGATTATAGACATAGACTGACTACCACACCCAGATGTGGAAGTTTTAAAATAAAGAATAAATATTAATGACATTTGTGAAGTGTGGTATAAATTTCATCGCATATTAATATTTATTTA